TGTATTAGCTCAGGACTCTGAGATGTTGGACTGGCGTCAGTTCCTGCTCAGCGCTGCTCTGCCGTGGCCGTTTCCCTCTCAGACTGAGCTGTTAAAAACCCTCCAGCGCTTCAGAGCCATCGACACTGCAGGAACTGGACTCATCACACGAGAACAATACACACAGGTCTATTACGCTCATGCTCATTTCACAGAACATCACTGCAACGGTCATATTAAACAACACAGATCTATACACAAACACATGTCCATACAGTAATTCAATCCTTTTGACAACATCTGTTTTGTTCTATGATCAGGTTGAACTGTGGTTTCCCAGTGAAAGAGATCTTCCTGTCCCGGATGACCCGACTGAACCTCTGCCCTACGACAGACTAGCCAACCTTAAGAAGGTAATGCAACATGAAGGATTTTGACAACTTTAAAAGGGTTCATATTATTATTATTTATGGTTTTTCCTGCTTTTTTTTTACATTTTGAAAAATTCGAAAACAATCTGCATTGACGTGCCTCTCAAACTGTTAGAAACTTGTTAAAATAGATTTCAGCTTTTGGGATCCATCTGAGGTGCTGAAGATCAGAAAGAGTTATTTTTCAATAAATGGCCTTTTTGAGGAGGACACTTCTGAAGCTCTGAAAGTTGATTCCTCGTGATTTGTCTGACCCCTTTAATGCTTTGAACAGTTTGAACATCACTGGATACAGTAAATGCATTAACATTGATTGGTTTAAAATTTGAGACTCTTTGATGTTCTGAACATATACAGTAATCTGTGTATGAACATGCATGTGTTTTTCCCCTTCTTTATGTGTGTAGTTTTTCTTCAGTCTGTTTGCGAGCTCACACTCCTCTCCACTGATGCTGGACTATCTGAGCTTGCTGCTGTATTTCTGCTGTCATCCTGAACCGGCTCAGGGCTTCACCAGAGCGCTGGGCCTCGTGATCGGACACACACTGCACTATAAACACACCAGCCCACTTACACAGGTACACACACACACATTTGTATGGCTATCAATGTGAGGATATTCATTTATATAATGCAATCACTATCCCTTTACCCTAACCTTAATTATCATAACTAATTGCCTAACCTTAACTCTAAAACCAAGTCTTAACTCTCAAACAGCCCTAGGGCGTCAGAAAGTTAGAACTGGCCAAAACGTCCTCACTTTAGTCTTTGTTCTCACTCCGATGGTCTACAACTTAAACTGGTCCTCACAAAGATAACTGTACAAGCGCAAACACACTCAGTATGACACATTTAACACTCTGAGCTGATGAGTTTGTTGGTGAATTTCACAAAACCTGTCAATAGCTTGTTTGGGTCACATTTTACACCAAAATCAAAAGAAAGAAAATGTAAAGTAAATCGCTATGGACAAAAGCGTCTGCTAAATAATTAAATGTAAATGCGTATTGTTTTCTACTTGTCGTTACTGTAATGTGCAAAAATAATCCATTAATTGCTTTCATGGTTTAAAACACTGTTCCTGCTGTAGTCTGTGCCGTATTTGGAGGGCGCTGGAGTCGAGGCTGATGAAGAGGAGGAGAGAGGGGAGGAGCCTGATGAAGAGGAGGAGAGAGGGGAGGAGTCTGATGAAGTGGGCGTGTCCGTTGATGATGTGCTCAGAGTTCTGAGTCGTGGAGACGATCACGTCTCTTCACATCTGAACCGATTCCAGCCGAACCGCAGGAGCAGAGATGAATTCAGAGAGGTAGAACCGAACAGCTCTGATCCAAACCTATAAAGATCCATCAGCCCAACTCAAACCCCATTTCATTTCAACTATTTTAATTCAAAATATAAACAAATGATAAACTTTTCCATTTAAAATAGCAAGCAAGATGGCAAAAATACTTAAAGGTCCCCTAACATGGGGTTATTTTATAATGTTTCCTGGGTTGCCCTTATAATGTTAGTATGTTTTTTTAGATCAAAAATAGTCATAATTTAGAAATAAAAGGCATTTTTCCTAGCCTGATTTGAACGCTCTGTTTGAAGGGGCGTGTCTGCTGTGGGATTCAGTGTAACCGCGGCCACTGCTGTGATTGGCTGACATGCTTGCATATGAAATAGCTACATATTACATGTGAAACTCTCTCGAATACTTTTACTACAGCTATTATACGTTTTTACTATTACAGCTATCGGGATTAACGAATCGTGAGAAGTTTTTAAAGTATTTAGATCTATTCCCATCACATAAAATGTTGCCGTGATGAGCATTGAGCAGATGACAGTGTGTTGATCGTGAGAATAAAGATCTAATCATTGCAAAGCAGTTTCTGCACTCTCTCTGCTTTCCCCAATGCAAACACGATGCTGTAAATACAGTAAGAGCTTCGTTGTGCAGTGTAACGTGCGTCATTGATTTCATAACGAGTTGTCCAGATAAACTCGCGCTGTGTGGAAAGATTGTTCTTTAATCGCTTTCTGTATAATTTGTTCACAATTTAAATAAGATTTTTTTCATCCTACTAAAAGAAACAATGTGAAGTTGATATTTTAGTCCCTGGCTTGACTGATGCATAAACCGTATTGAACGATTTTGAGAGAAAGATTACCTGTCTGAACTTGAACAATGAGCTACACATCAGAAAGTGTTGCTTGGTAGCTCGATCGACTTATTTTCAGACGTTCATCGAGGCCGGATCTGTATTGGCCCAAGTTGAGGAAACAGTCGTCGGTGAAATGTTTGGACCATACAAAACTTTGGGAAGTTGTGTCGGCGCATTTCCAGAGAAAATAAAATTAATCCATTGATTCTTTAGAGGCTCGGATGAAGGAACTAAAAAATACCTTCGCTCGTTTGCAAGCCATGATATCTCTCGAGGGAAAAACTCAAATCGCGCTCGCACGTTCGTACTTCCTAGCTCATTTTCTCATGGGCGAGCCAAATTCTCTGGGCGGGCAAAGCAGAGAAAGGGGAGGTTACCTTTCCTCCGTATGACGTCATACGGAGGAGATTCAAGATCAGCTCGTCTGAGCTTTCATTTTCTCAAAGGCAGAGAAAGATAGCCAAAGCTCGGTTTACACCGATTGAAATTTCTTGCCACTGGGGGACCATATACAGGTTAGGGGAACTCATATTAATGTTAAAAAACCTCAGAAAGTGAAAATTTCATGTCAGGGGACCTTTAACAAATCCACAAACATAGCTAACAGTTATTAACCATAGCCAACAGTGTGCATGTGTTAGTCACTCTCATAATAGTTTCATAAATGTAGAGCTATTTGTGAAATCTTTGTGTCACTGGAATGTTTTTCTCTCATTTTTAAAACAGATTAACCTAATCTGTGGTTCTGTAGATCAGCAGATGATTGTGAGTCTCCACATGACTGTATTTAATGTGTTGTCGTGTGTTCAGGAGCTGCTGAAGGTGTTTAAGGAGTTGGGTTTTAAGGATGAGGAGAAGATTGCTTTCTCCACACTTTCCCAGCATCCCTTTCTGCAGGATCTAATAGAAGGATCCTCACAGTACCTGCTTCCTGTGAGTATAACACACAAACATGTGATCTCACACACATACATCAAAAATGTATTTTAATGATTGAATGATCTTAACATAGAAGATTTCAGGCACTAAGTCCCCGTTAAACTTCAAGCAGAATTTAAGAACGAACTGATGTGACGTCATTTCGAACAAAATTAGGCCGAAACAAAGTTCGTTTGGGGAGTTCAAAACAGCTTGCTAAAGCGAACCTTCCGCAAAAGCAAAATGCTATTCTTATGCTTTATTAAAATGTTGCTGTTTTCTAAATTTTTTTAAACGTGTATATTTTGTCATTAAGAGAAAAACGTGCAGCACATATTTGAATATTCTGATGCATCAGATGTTCGCTAACAGTATATCGCTGGTCACGTGTTTTGAACCTTGTTTTACCCCAAAGCGAAGAATGAAAAATAACTTTGCTGTGAGTATATCAGGCCTTAATTCTGCTTACATTAAAACATCCATTTGAAACATTTTCAGAAAATGTTGTGGCTTTTATTCCATGTTCCACGCAAACTTCCTGTTTCAATCGGAAATAAGTCTACACAGGACAGAAAAATTTGATATTTACTGTAAATATGTAAAAAATAACAAATGAAGTTAAGAATTATGTTTTTATTAATTATGATTACATGTCTTCTATATAGGACATTCACAGAATTTTCCAGACCAAACAAACTGAAGATCCACAAAGCTTCTCAACATGATTAACACTCAATAACACACACCAACACATGAATCACACAAGGTGATGGTAATGGAATAAACATTAAAGCTGTATTTGGTATATTAATGGTTTTATTTAAAGTAATTTACATCTTAATTCATCATGAAAAACAGTGATCTGCTGAAATGATCCTTTAATAAACTAAATGTTTCTAAATATATTTATTTACTGAAGTGGAGATACACATTTTGATGTAGTTGTGTATTCTTGTCTCATAGTACAGCGATATTGTCAAATCGATTCATTTGTGTGTTTCAGAGATGATTTATGTGGAAGCTTGAACATGATCGCTTACAACAAAAGCAAAACATTAGGATAAATCAATGTAAAATCAGCACAAAACATCAACACTTATGTAAAGTAAAAAATGTTTTATATATATATATAACATATAAAGAATATATGAGCGAAAGATTTATGTTAAAGGAGTATGTTAATGAATATATTTATGAATACACATGTATGAATAAAAATGTAAAGAAAATATAATAAAGAATGAACTACAACTATCTTTGGTCTCTGCGATTATTAAGAATGTTCACTTTTCTATTGTCTTCGCACAAGTCAGACACACAAACACCTGCAGGTGAGATACATAACTTAACATTTGTCAAAAAATAATGGAAACCGAGCATAACCTTTTGAACACACAATCATCTCTTAAAATTACATGAAAATTGAAACCCCATAATGACATTTAAAAAAATCTCAGTCTGAATTTTAGGTCTCTCAGAATGGAAGAGAAAAAACAAAAAACAAAGTGGACAGATTCATTCAAGACTCTATGAGCTCTTCGGCATCAACCATTTCAACGTCAGTCTGATTCTCTGCAGCCCTTTCCAAGTTATTGACAAACTCATCCATCTCATTTATGTCCTTGAAATGTGCTCTAGCCTGTGCTTTAATGTTATCCAGGATAGGCTGCATGGAAAAGCCATATTCCATAACGCTCCAAGTTTTAGAACGTTCTTGTTTGTACTTATAGCCACCAGTGTGGATGCCAATCAGTTTGCAGTGTTCATCAAAAACTGGAGAGCCAGAAGATCCATGAAAGAAACAAGAGTTATAAGTAATCTGGTTTTTATATGCCAAAGGGTCCCATTTCTGTTCGGCGCACACCTCCATCATAACATGAATTAAATGCTCATTCTCAGATTTGTGTTTATCTGCAGCCTCTTGTAGATTCTCTCTCTCAATGATGATGCAGGGGTCCATTTTCTTGACCCCTTCTCCTGGATGTCCCACAATGCAGATCTGACCTCTGTTAGGAGGGTTTGGACTGTAACAACGGAGCAATTTAGGATACTTTGCAATTTCACCAACAGAATCCAATTCAAGAAGAGCGTAGTCAAGATACCTGCCGCTGTCATCTTTCCCGTTAAAGGAAGCTATGAGTTGTTTAACTTGTATGTGCTTGGTCTCCTTTGCTTCCAAACCTTCATATCCAAATACTGCAGTGAATGTCTTCATGGAGAAAGTGTCAAGTTCTCCAATAACATGAGCATTAGTGAGGATGAATCTGTCGAAGAGTAAGAAGCCGGTTCCTACGGGAGACTCCCCGACTCGAATCTGACACACAGAGTCAGAGAGTCTTATGAGCTCCCTCACTTTCTTCACCTCCAAGAAATTCTCAGCACTTTTATGATATTCTTCTCTGAAGAACTTCTGGACCTGAGACTTGTTCTTTAGGTTCTCTCGCTGCTTTACCGTCTTCCATAAATCTTCACACTGATCACGCAGAATTTTCGCAATCTCTTCAGATTTGTCTATGGGTTTGGCTACATACAGCTTTTGGTAGAGAGCATGATAGGTAGACATTGGTAGACAAACCGTAGGATTGGTAGACTTTGTTGTGTTTCCATCCTGTTTTTTTTCTTGCTCAGTGTTGATGGGATTCTGGCATGGCCCATTTTCTGCCGCATCAGCATCTGAAGCTTCATTAGGCTCAGTGTTGACATGAGTCACATCATCCTGACTCTTTAGCTGATTGTTGTCATGGCTAACAACTACCTGGAAAGTCTTTTTGTTAAGCGTTTTTGTTACAGGTAATACAAATTCATGTTTTATCACTGTACCAGACTCAGAAAGTGCACATGTTTTCTCGAAAATGACATCGTTAAATCTTCCATCACGTTTAAGAGCAGTTTTGATTTCCTCTCCTTTGAATGCAAACACACAAACATAACGAACACTTTTTCTCAAAGCTGCGCTCTTCAGTAAATATGTCACTTTTGGTCCTCCTTCTTTTTCAACCAAAAAGGTGACTAATGTTTCAGGTTTACTTCTTTTACTGAGGAGTGAAGGATCTATAGTTGTTTGTTGATTTGTAGAACTATTTCCATCCTTTTGGATGAAGGTTATATCGAAGATCTCATCTTCTTCAATAAGACAGCAGGGGAAATCGGTCTTTACAGCAGCTCTGGGAACTTTTCCATTGGATCTTTGGATGAGTATTTCTTTCAGTTTTTTCTTCTGTTTGTCTTTTTCGATACTGAAAAATTGGCTTGTATTAAGAGCCTCAAGCACAGTCATGGAAGTAGTACACACAACTGAATATGTCTTAGACTTAGAGTTTATACAAAAATTGAAAGCGTGTTTTTTCTCTTCGACTTCCTGTTAAAATGAGAAAAAAATGTTATTATGGACACAAACATTCAAGTGAATTCAACTGAGGAAATGTTTGTAATAAATTATTAATTATGCATGTGTTACAGAAAGTGATCTACCTGCTGCAGATCTTTTGATGGTCCCGCTTCATCTTCTTTCTTAACTGAAGGAGCCATCGTTTTCTGTGAAAATGTCAACAATAGTGAAGTTAATGCAGGCGTACCACTGTCTACATCTTTCTACCATAATTTAAATAATGAAAAGGACAGGTAAAAACGCACTAATGTTACGGACCTATCTAACCACCAAACATAATACCACAAAGCAAAACAAATGTCTTCACCCTGAGAGGGAAACACATATACCTCGAGAAAATACAGAACGCTCAAAAACATCTGCTGTATCTGACTTCCAAAGATTTTTTTATTAACAAAATCACTAAATTAAGACTTAGTGCCTGCCCTAATTTAACTGTCTCCCCAATCTCGACACCTGCTTCTGGTTTTTGATCCTATCAACCTCCAGACACTGAAGGACATGATTGTCAAGCTCAAACCGTCATCTTGTCCTAATGATATCATTCACCTGAGATTTTTTAAATGAATCATTGATTCAGTTGGGCCAGGTATGGTATCTCTTATCAACAAGTGTCTCAAAACGGGCTCTGTTCCTGCCAATCTTAAAGTGGCTACGGTCACTCCTCTCCTCAAGAAGCCTTCACTAGATCCTTCTGTTTTAATACATTTCTGTCTTACCTTTCATTTCTAAGCTATTGGAGAAAATTGTGCTGGATTAACTCAAATTTTTTTTGTCAAATAATTGTATTTATGAGGTTTTTCAATCTGGTTTCGAACTGCCCACAGCACTGAGTCCGTTGAAGGGGGTGGATTGGAATCCACTGCTGCTTCAATGTATATGTAATGAATGAGTGATTATAAGCAAGGTATTAATCAATATTTTTCCTTCTAAATATATAATGAGTTGAATGACTTCTCTAGGCTTGTGAGATTTTACTTTGTTATAGAAGTTACCAGTGTGATTACTGAAATGTTCTTTTCATATGTCTGTATTTGATATCTGAATAGGTATCAAATACCTAGGTCCAGTGGCACCGTAAACCGGCTCAATCTCTTCCATCTCAGATAGGGGTGGACCAGTACTACTTTATTTGATTTTTTATTCTAAACTGTTTTAATTATTCTTATTTGTTTTGATTATTTTAATTTCTTCTATGTAAAGCACTTTGAATTGCCATTGTGTATGAAATGTGCTATATAAATAAACTTGCCTTGCCTTGCCTTGCCTTGAATGCAGTAACAGTGCTTGCTCATTTAGCCCGGCTTCCAGAAATGAATTAGGAACTTGTTTTGTGTTTGAGAAAGGTCTTCAAAGTGTTAAAACATATAGGGTCATTGAAGCCAATAGTTTAAGGCACTATTTCTTTGTTAAAGCCTTACTTTCCAGTTTGACTAAAGTGTAGCTCTCCTTGGGAGAAAGAACGCATTCTCTTGATGTTTTGAGAGGACTCTCCTGTTTATAGTGAGAGCCTGGAATCCAACCTTGGAAAAGCTGTGTGTCGGTGTGTGTGTTAGTCTTCTTGGTTACAGGTTAAGGAACCACTGGCATTATTGGAGATTGACTGAGTTGTTGTTCTGGACATGTTGGCGCCCAGCAACCCAAATCTGCGACCACGACGTGCCTAACTTCAGGGTCCGAATGTGTCAGCTGCATAATCAATGGAGATATGATTCCGTCTATCTGTATATGTGTGGAAAATTACTGTGTTTATCTATTTCTTAGCCAATGAGAATCATTCAACCTGTTAACAATCACGTAGCTTAGACCTTGGAAATGGTATAACTGCTGTGATCTTTGTTAGTGTGTTCACACCGAACGTGAATTTAATTATTTGCACGAGTAGATTATATGCAAAGACGCGAATAGACGCATCATTCGCGCATCATTCGCGTCCAGAAAGAAATTGTTGTTGTTTTTTTATTCGCGAGTGACGCGGATGCGCGAATGGGTTCAAAATGTTCAAGCGGCTTTAAGCCTGGAACACACCGAGTCGGCCGACTACGTTTCCTCGGTGTGTTCCGTGCGGTTCCGTGCCGTCGGCTGAAATTGGTCCTCGTCTGCTTTGTTTCGGCCGATTCGACATTTTGAATTGGCGTCGGGTCGTTGGTGAAAGAGAGAACTCTGATTGGCTGTTCAGCTTAGTGAAAGAGTCGATGCACGAGAATAATTAAGGCTGTTCTTATGTTACGTCATCTTACCCGAGTGTTCCTTGGCGAATATATTTTAATATTAAAGGGGTCATATAATGCCATTTTTGTACAAGCTAATATGATTCTTTAGGGTCTAAATTAAAAGTTTGTAATATACTTTAATTAAAAATTCTCATTAGTATTGTAAGAAAACACTTATTTTACCTGGTCAAAAACAGCTCTGTTTTCAGCACGCCGTTTCAGTGCATATGACTTTAAATGATAATGAGCTTTGCTCACCCCGCCTCTCTGTTCTGTGTGTACACCGTTTGTAACACAATAACACAATAACACAATAACCATAACGCGTTGTTCAGTATAAACGTGGGATTATGAATTATATTGAGAACATCATACATAGAAAACATGCCGTAATGTACCCTGAGTGTAAACCTTAGACGCATTCATTGTGAAGCGTGCAGCTAGCGATTTGCAAAGATTAATATATTAATATAAAGTTTAATAAAACGTTACACTCACTTCCGTTCTTCTGGAGATTCAGCAGGAACACGAATATCTGGTACCGATCCTTTTTTTCATTAGCAGCTTCTTAGCAAAACCAGCTTTATACTGACCCTCGTTTATAAAGCAGTCTGGTGTGTGAAATGATTCGCGCAAACATGAAAGCATTGACGTTGCTCGTGGGGAATATTCCCTTCGAAAACAAACACAGCCACTGCGTCTTCAGCGGTTCGGATTCAGGAACATTAAAATGACTGCTGTGTTCGTTAGACGCTTAGACGCCATTCTGCTCATAGACAGTGCTCCAGCATATCAACAATGACCGCGCCGGTCCGCGCCGCGCAGACTATGATTGACAGCTCGCTCACGAGCGAGGGCGGGTCTGTGTTGAAACGCTCCTGTTAATCAACAATCGTGGGAGGGGCGTGCGAGCTTGTGACGTCACAGGCTCGAACGGCTCGATTTGAGGCAGGGGAAAACATATAAGGAGATTAAAACAAAACCACTGGATGGATTTTTATCATTATATGATGGTTGTGTACAGGCACTGCCAACACACATTTCAGTACAATCAACTTGTAAAAGTGCATGTGCCATTATATGACCCCTTTAACACGAGCGGAGTGGAATAAAGAAAGTGTTTAGCAGAATGTTTGCTCCTCCTGTTTTAAGGTTGCCCTTAGCTTTGCTGCTTTTATTTGTGTTTTATGTGTTGTTATGCAGGTATTATTTTCTTTATATGGCTGCTCTGTACAGCACTTTGGTCAGCCTAGTGGCTGTTTTAAATGTGCAATATAAATAAAGTGAACAAAGTGAACTAGCTGCTATAAGTAGTTTGCAATTTTAGATGGATACAGAATGACATATTTGGGTCCTGGACATGAAAGGGTTAAGAACACCTGGTCTAGAGCGTCCTGTTCGATCAGCTCTCAAATTCACTTCAAATTAAATGACAGCTTTTTCACAAACACTCCTCAAATCATAGATGCAGCTTCATCCCAACTCAGTCATTGCCACTGGAAAACTGGAATTCACCATTATTTTCTTGTTCTAAGCTAAAACTGTGCCATTGTTACATTGTTTTGCTGTTGTACAAAATACATTAAAGTGCTAGATAATGTTTTCTTTATTTGTGGCTTTGAGAATTTCAGAAAACTTTCAAATGGTGACATTTGGACAGTGTTGGGGAAAGTTACTTGTAAAAGTAATGCATTACAATATGATACCTGAACATTGTCACTCGCTTGTGACTTCTCCCCAGATTTATCATCTCTGGCAGTCTGTTTCTGAAAGAGACAAAAACATTTTCATTCCAACTAAGCCTAAACCCAACGCACTGTCCAAGCAGAGAGAAGGAGAAGGATAACAGTCACCTGTCCTACACGACTCTGTTGAAAGGAGATCCGAAGGTCTGTCTGCTTCAGTTTTTTCTTGGGTGGGTTTCCTTTAGGCATGTTTTTGACCGTTCGGTGTATCTTTAAACAGAACAAATGATGAAGAGCTGAGAAATGTTTAACTTGCATTAACTTGGTTATTTTAACAATGTAACCTTAAAATTAGTGACAGTCACCTATTATTCTTAAATTAGTATTACCTTAAAACAGTATTGTGTTATTCTTCTGCTAACATTAATATTTAATTAACATTTTCACAGTCAGATAAGTGAGTTATCTGTGAGTGCTTAAGTATTTATCTTTTTTTTCAGTATGCAGTTTAATTGGCTGGTTGGTTAGATTTTTTTGTCCTTTTGAGAGGCTGGTACACAGTCATTTGTCTGTGATCAGATTTAGGGTTTAGTTTATCGACAGTGAATGCTTTGAGTGATGAGAGCTCTATGTCTGTTATCACAGTGGTTTTCTACTCATTTTGGCAAATATAATTCCTCTGCCATAGAACAGAACAGAATGAAAAAATACAAAACCTATGCATGTCAATAGATACAACCATACATTTTAGGAATCCACAATTTCAGTGGAAGTCAGCACCAACCCTGATCAAACACACCTGTTAGGTACTTTTTATTCAATTGTCTACGGTCTTCTGCAATGCCCTCCAGATCTCGTGAAGACACCGAGACCAGATTGCACCTCGGTTAATTCTCAGTTTAATACAGTCGGACAGAGGATATTTATAATTGCTATTTGCTGTATTCACCTGCATCAATACAGTTGGATCTGTGTTGATACACGCCTTAACCTGTTTTCTGCTTGCAGCAAATTTGCAGACAGGAAGTCGTAGGCAGCTCACATGCTCAAACATGGTGACAGAGAGCCACAAATTATTTCACAACACCTGAACCATCTAACCAAGGTAGATTATTTAAAAATTACAGGCGGGTGTGTGCTGGATCAGGTTTGGCTCTGAACTATGACGATCACACATGAGCATGCAGGGCTGTCCTCTTAGATTAAAACACTATATTTCAGAATATTTAAGGTAATATTTTTATAGGCCATTCTGTTTTTAAAGGAATAGTTCACCTAAAAAATTAAATTGGCATCATTTACTCAAATGTTGTTTCAAACCTGTATGAGTTTCTTTCTTCTGTTGAACACAAAGAAAGATATTTTGAAGAATGTTGATAACCAGACAGTTAATGTACCCCAGCCATTGATTTCCATAGTACGAAAAATAAGGTTATATGCAGGGGCGTAGAATTTAGTAGGGACGCTAGGGACGTGTCCCTACCAATATCCAGTGACACTGATATATCCCTAGCAATATTTTCGATCAAAACTTTAAATATATTAAATAGTATTAAATAATACCGAAGTAAACGGCTACCGTCAACTGTTTGATTACCAACATTCTTCAAAATATCTTCTTTTGTGTCACAACGGAGTCGATCATGACAGTGATTCGACACGATTCATTCACGAACGAAACACCATTAAATGAATCCAAACACCTTTGATAGCATTGCGTTTTAGAGCCTTTTTGGATCGTAAATTCTTTCACAAGTCACAACAAGCGCATTTTATCCTTTACAGCATTTGTTTGTAACCGGTGAATACCAGTGTAGTGATTTGTGTTAATATTATTGAGGTAACGGAAATAATTCGATAAAACATTAATGCTAGAAATATATTAAAAGTTGTTGTAAACATCCAGGGTCATATTATATTTTGTTGAATATGATATTTTGTTTAAAAAAGTTACCTTATGTGAGTAAACCGTTTAAACAAAGCAGGAAAAGGTGAAGTGAATGTCGTCTGTTTTCCTTCGTGTGTTTGAAGCTCTGGTTTGAAGTGTGTGATCATCACTGATCTCATGCTATGATCTCATGCAGCGCGCGTAAAAGCAAATTATTATTCTAGTGTTTTGACGAGTTACAGACCATTGTAAAAGCTGTATACCGCCACCTACTATATTGGAGTGAGTAAATGATAAAATCAAAGTTTTGGTAAAATCATGGCTTCATTGATCTCTAGACGACCAGATTCACGTAGAAATAAAGGTTTTAGTTTGAATAGATTTTTAAATATATTGTTTATTCTCTACCTATAATAACCAGAATATTTTGCCAGTGTTTGTCGAAGTTGCTTTTAATTTGGGATTTACCTTCGTTTTCCCAAAAGGAATCTCTATTTTATATTTATTTCCCAATGCTATATTTTGCTAATTTGTCAATTTAATTTTCTTGTACCCCTATATATCTGGTATCCAGCCAAATTGGAGCTATTTTATTTTTATTTAACTCAAAATGGTTCACATATACGCTCATACGCTGCGATTTAAAGAAATATGTTTCTGTAAATCACTGCCATGGCAATAAACAAATACAGTCCACTTTAATTTTATGAATTGTTATGTTTTGTTCAGCTCATAATAGAACATCACGTAGAGAAACTCATCCAGTTGACTAAATAATAAATTAGATAAACCGTTTAAATAAAACAGGAAAAATAGATAAAAGAAAATACCCAGCTATTGCTTCATATCTTATATTAGAGTCATGGTGGTAAAGGGACAGTTGTGTGAATGCCTACTTGAGATTTTTTTGAATGCCAGAGACGGCACAAAAACAGAAATGCGGCATTAAAAAACTCTATCCTTTTCAGCTCTAACTCTGAAATATGGTGGGCTCGAGCTGCATGATGAGATATCGCCATTTTAAATGTTCTTTAAAAAATAATCAAATCTGCCACTAAGCAGCATTAAAATATCAAGACGTTTTTTTTTCTCATTCAGTATTACACAATTGTACAGAAAGGTCATTAAAATCTCAGGAATATTTATTTGAGGTATTGAGGAAATTCAAACAAACAAGAACAAATAAAAGAAAGAAAATAAAACAGCTGCTATAAAGATTTGAGAAAAAAAATTGTCCTTCAAAATTTCAGTAGCTCTGAGCAGTAATTTTATAATAAATAGAACATAATTGTAAAAGTAAAACAGCATTCATGTTATATACATTCACTTTTTGAACAAAGAGATTTGAAGTTTACAGTAAAAACACAAGCTCAATAACCAGAATGAGACATTTTCTTCATATTTTCTTCTGTAACTATAAAGTGTGATCTTATAAGGCTGGAAGCTTATCTATTTTGCTATTTTGAACCAATAATCAGAACAAAAGGCATTTGAAGGATGACATGTATAATTCAAATATTTATCTGACTAGAATACAATATATTAATCTGACTCCATTAGGATACTTTAATATCTCTATTAAGTTCACCATCATTCATTTCAGTTTATAAGCTGTCAGATGAGACCAAACATGGCTGAGTTACATATTAGAACACACTAGTAAATAAACAGTATGTAGTTGAAAGCATATGTCCTGTGAAGCAAATGGTACAGATGTGTCATTGAGGTGAAAATGATGGTCTCTCACGACAGAGTGCATGGAGTGTCCCAACAGTCCTTAATCAGCATATTGATGAAACCCTTGCACTAGATTAGCATAAGCATACTGTGATAATGAAGGCCATTGTGCCAGGTTTAATTCCCATGTATACCTTTAAAAGGCTTTTTGAAGTATAGGCAGTAGAGTTCTGCCCATATTTGCTCAGTCCTACATGTGTGTCAGTTGATGATGTGCTCAGAGTTCTGAGTCGTGGAGACGATCACGTCTCTTCACATCTGAACCGATTCCAGCCGAACCGCAGGAGCAGAGATGAATTCAGAGAGGTAGAACAGAACAGCTCTGATCCAAACCTATAAAGATCCATCAGCCCAACTCAAACCCCATTTCATATGATCTATTTTAATTCAAAATATAAACAAATGAGAAAGTTTTTTCCATTTAAAATAGCAAGCAAGGTGGCAAAAATAACAAATCCTTAAACATAGCTAACAGTTATTAACCATATTACCAACAGTGTGCATGTGTTATTCACTCTCATGATAGTTTCATAAATGTAGAGCTATTTTGTGAAATCTTTGTGTGTCTTGGAATGTTTTTCACTTTTGAAGCAGATTACCCTAATCTGTGGTTCTGTAGATCAGCAGATGATCCCGAGTCTCTACATGACTGTATTTAATGTGTTGTCGTGTGTTCAGGAGATGCTGAAGGTGTTTAAGGAGTTGGGTTTTAAGGATGAGGAGAAGATTGCGTTCTCCACACTTTCCCAGCATCCCTTTCTGCAGGATCTAATAGAAGGATCCTCACAGTACCTGCTTCCTGTGAGTATAACACACACACATGTGATCTCACACACACTACAACAGAGCTCAGTGGGGAGAGCTCCATGCCAAACAATGTTCAAATTAATATATAAAAAAATGGGTAACACTTTAGAATACTGTTCCGTCATTAAGGAATAACAGGAAAAAACGAGTAATGCATTATTAACACTCTAGTAACTGTTAACTAACAAGACACTCTGATTAACAAATTAATAAGTAATAATGCTTAGTTGAACGTAGTAGTTCACTATTAGCTAATCAATAACTATTTTTTCATACCTCCCAGAGGGCTACTAAGGATTATTATAAAGGTTCATAATTAATGTGAATACGGTAATCTATAATTAATTCTAAAGTGAAGGTCATGGTAAGCCACTAGTAATGACTCAAGTATCATTCACCAATACTAATTATTTGAATCAGTATTCTAAAGTAAAAAACATAACTCTCTAATAATGACTGAAGAGTTTTTTTTGTAAGGATTTGGATAGTAATGACTCAAATGTTACTACATTCTTCTAAAGGAATTATTAATTATTTGGATCAGTATCCTAAAGTTGAGCAACTCCTAAACCTTAATTTAACCCATGTACTGTACACTGTAGTATCTTACAGTATTCAGTACTTTTGTGGTAAGAACACTGTAAGTACAGAGAAAGTGCACGTACTGTAAAATAAAGTGCAACCTTGTAAGGTTTTGGATAGTAATTCCTTCCGATGGATTTGGTAACAATTCAGTCATTACTAGTGGCTTACCATGATCTTCACTTTAGAATTAATTATACATTATGCATTATTCACATTAATTATGAACCTGTATAGTTCTCAGTGGTCCTCTGAGAGATATGAAAAAGTAGCTATTGATTAGCTAATAGGCAACTACCACATACAGTGAGGAAAATAAGTATTTGAACACCCTGCTATTTTGCAAGTTCTCCCACTTAGAAATCATGGAGGGGTCTGAAATTGTCATCGTAGGTGCATGTCCACTGTGAGAGACATAATCTAAAAAAAACAATCCAGAAATCACAATGTATGATTTTTTAACTATTTATTTGAATGATACAGCTGCAAATAAGTATTTGAACACCTGAGAAAACCAATGTTAATATTTGGTACAGTAGCCTTTGTTTGCAATTACAGATGTCAAACGTTTCCTGTAGTTTTTCACCAGGTTTGCACACACTGCAGGAGGGATTTTGGCCCACTCCTCCACACAGATCTTCTCTAGATCAGTCAGGTTTCTGGGCTGTCGCTGAGAAACACAGAGTTTGAGCTCCCTCCAAAGATTCTCTATTGGGTTTAGGTCTAGAGACTGGCTAGGCCACGCCAGAACCTTGATATGCTTTTTACAGAGCCACTCCTTGGTTATCCTGGCTATGTGCTTCGAGTCATTGTCATGTTGGAAGACCCAGCCTCGACCCATCTTCAATGCTCTAACTGAGGGAAGGAGGTTGTTCCCCAAAATCTCGCAATACATGGCCCCGGTCATCCTCTCCTTAATACAGTGCAGTCGCCCTGTCCCATGTGCAGAAAAACACCCCAAAAGCATGATGCTACCACCCCCATGCTTCACAGTAGGGATGGTGTTCTTGGGATGGTACTCATCATTCTTCTTCCTCCAAACACGGTTAGTGAAATTATGACCAAAAAGTTCTATTTTGGTCTCATCTGACCACATGACTTTCTCCCATGACTCCTCTGGATCATCCAAATGGTCATTGGCAAACTTAAGACGGGCCTTGACATGTCCATGAACCATGATGACGTCTTGTGTATTACCAACAGTAACCTTGGAAACGGTGGTCCCAGCTCTTTTCAGGTCATTGACCAGCTCCTCCCGTGTAGTTCTGGGCTGATTTCTCACCTTTCTTAGGATCATTGAGACCCCACGAGGTGAGATCTTGCATGGAGCCCCAGTCCAAGGGAGATTGACAGTCATGTTTAGCTTCTTCCATTTTCTAATGATTGCTCCAACAGTGGACCTTTTTTCACCAAGCTGCTTGGCAATTTCCCCGTAGCCCTTTCCAGCCTTGTGGAGGTGTACAATTTTGTCTCTAGTGTCTTTGGACAGCTCTTTGGTCTTGGCCATGTTAGTAGTTGGATTCTTACTGATTGTATGGGGTGGACAGGTGTCTTTATGCAGCTAACGACCTCAAACAGGTGCATCTAATTTAGGATAATAAATGAAGTGGAGGTGGACATTTTAAAGGCAGACTAACAGGTCTTTGAGGGTCAGAATTCTAGCTGATAGACAGGTGTTCAAATACTCATTTGCAGCTGTATCATACAAATAAATAGTTAAAAAATCATATATTGTGATTTCTGGATTTTTTTTTTTTTAGATTATGTCTCTCACAGTGGACATGCACCTACGATGACAATTTCAGACCCCTCCATGATTTCCAAGTGGGAGAACTTGCAAAATAGCAGGGTGTTCAAATACTTATTTTCCTCACTGTAAGCACTATTACTTACTAATTTGTTAACCAGAGTTTCTTGTTAGTTAATAGTGTTAATAATTGCATTACTCGTTTGTTCATGTGTAGTTATTCCTTAATGATGGAACAGTATTCTAAAGTGTTACCAACATTTTTTTATTTTAGTGATTGAATGATCTCAACATAGAAGATTCCAGTCACAAATAGATCAATTCTGCTTACAGTAAAACATCCATTCGAAACATACCAGTGTCTTTAAAGTCCCCATGAAATCAAAATTGACATCTTGTTTTTTATTATAAATGATTTATCCATGCACATAATTTTTTCATGTGTCTTGTAATCTTTAATCATCTTCCCCTCCTGACATCTCTTTCCTTTTCTGATGATGTGTTTACTGGCATTAGGGCGGGGCAACCTGTCACTCACATGAGATCCACCAATAGCAAACCACAACCATACTACTCGTTCGAGAAGCCGTTTCACTCACATTTACGCCACAATAGTAAAGAAAAAACTATCACAATTTCTGTAGATTTTAAAGACAAAAAAACAAATCAAAAAGGAATTTTGTGGCTTTTAACCCATCTTTAACCCTAAACATCTGGTTTCCATAAGAAAAATGTCAACACTCATCAAACCTTTTCATTGAGTCTTTATTGTAATTAGCATGAGCAATGAAGGTTTTTGTTTCACAATTATACACTAAAAGTGTTTTTTATTAATCATTTTGATTACATTACATTTCTTCCAGGACATTCACAAAATTTTCCAGACCAAACAAACTGAAGATCCCCAAAGCTTCTCAACATGATAAACACTAAAAACAGCACTTTGAATCACACAAGGTACACATTAATGAAATAATAATAATTACATTTATATAGCGCTTTTTCTCGGCACTCAAATCGATTTAGAAGGGGGAAAACTCAACCACCACCAATGTAAGGTCAAATGTAAGTGTTAATTTTAAAAAGTGTTAAAATAATAAATGTAAGTGTAATAAAAAGTTAAACATGATCTCTTACAACAATTAAAACGTTAAGATGAAGGAATGTAAAATCAGTATAAATGTAAAGTTTAAATAATATATAAAATGCATATAAAGAATATATGAGTGAATTATTTGTTAAATGAGTATGGAAATATTAATACACAAGCATATATGAGCAGTTAAAAAAAATAATGGTCAGTAAAGAAAATAATGGCCTATAACTATTTTTGGCCTCAAATTAATGAATAATGTTCACTGTTCCTCTCTTGACACGTCAATCCCACAATCCCCTGCTGGTGGGTTACTGGACTTTAAAATAAAAGACACTTCTGCTGTTGAACATGCAATCATCTCAACAAATAATATGAAAAGTAAAACCCATAGTGACATTGAAAAATCTCTGATTTTAGGTCTCTCATAAATTAAAGCTTTGCAGAACTTCCTCCCCAAGAAATGTCCATGTAGACATGAGGACGGGGAACACTTTCATCATATTCAGCTCTGAAGAACCTTTCGGCTGAGGTTCTCTTGTGCTTTATTTCCAGTAAATCTTTACGCTGATCACGCAGAATTTGCAGAATCACATCAAATGACCTTATTTAAAAAGTTATTAAAAAACGAAAATCTTCAATCTTGAATACATGGAAATATGGGATTGACAAATCTCTGTCAGATATTTTTCCAGATGGATTGGTGGGTTTTCAATCAGGAGACAAGGCTCAGGTGTCCCTTTAGTTTACATCCATTTCCTCATCTTCAATCTGCTGTTCTTCCTTAATGGGCATGTTTGCTTCATATGCATCCTCAATTTTCCCAAGGTCAAAATGTTCTTGTATATGTTTAAATTTTTCATTTTGTAGTAATTTTATGATGTCACTTCTTGGCCTGACCTGTGTGATGATGCTTTCCACGATGGACTGCATGGAATATGAAAACTCTATAACACTTCTAGTTTTTTCACCTTCTTTGTAAGCAAAGCCACCAGTGTGCATGCCAATCAGATTGCAGTGTTCATCAAACACCGGAGAGCCAGATGATCCATGAAAGAAACAAGAGTCATAAGTTATCCGGTTCTTGTATAGATTTGGCCAGCATTGCCATGATACATATGGACAGGAAACATTCTCAGATATGTGTTTGTTTATACTCTGTAGTTGAATCGCTTCTCCAATGATGAAGCAGAGATCCATCTTTTTAACCTTACAATCTGGGTGTCCTACAATGTAGATCCCACCACTGTTAGGAGAGGGGCCATGCTTATAACAACTGAGCAGTTCAGTACAGTTCTCAGGTGCAGCTTCCAATTCAAGAAGAGCATAATCATGGTACCTGACAGTCTCATCTTTTTCATATCTGTAAGCAATAAGTTCACTCTTTGCTTGGAGATTCATTGTCTCAGATCCCAAAAATTCATGATTGAACACAGCTGTCAGAGTCCTTGAAAGCTTGTGTGTGTGAGGAGCCTCCAGTGGAGAATAAACAAAGTCCTTAACAACATGAGCATTAGTGAGGATGAATCTGTCAAAGAGTAAGAAGCCGGTTCCTGTAGTATTCTCAACTACTATCACACACACAGAGTCAGACAGGTCCATGATTCGCCTCACTTTGTTCACCTCAGTGAAACACTCAACACCTTTATCATATTCTTTTTGCAATAACTCTTGAACCTGGGGGTTCTTTTGCTGGTTTAGCTGATTCAATACATCTCTCAATACAGTCCGCAAAATGCTCTGAAAGTCAGTAAAGAATGAATTTCCAGAAGTATTCTGAGTTGCATTCCCTTCAGTTGAAGGACCTGCGGATCTTGCCTTTCTCTCTTGAATTGTTTTTTGTTTAGTGTTAGTGGGATGCTGGCTTAGGTCATTTTTTTCTGAATCAGCAGCTGAAGGTAAATTTGGTACACTACTGGTTTTAGTTAGTTTCATTTGGGTTTTAGGCCGTCTGTCACCAATAGCAATTATCTGAAATGTCTTCTGATTAAGATCCTCAGCAAGGTCAGACATTTCATACCTTGCTCCTTGACTCTTCTCTGCTCCACCTTTAAACTCCCAAGAGAGGACACAGAGTTTCTGGAATATTTTATCAATGAATCGTCCATCACGCTTAAGAGCAGTTTCAACTTCCTCTTCTTTGAATGCATAAACACAAACATAATCAGCTGTGTTTGCCAATTCAGAGTTCTTCATTATGTGTTTCACTGTTTTCCCTCCTGTTGTTCTGATTTTAAAGGTGATTAAGTCTGTCCTGGGGAGTGGAAAATCTTCATGTGTCTGTTGCTCTGTAGAAGCCTTTTTTTCCTTTTTGATGAAGGTTATTTTTAAGATTTCATCTTTGTCAACAAGACTGCATGGGAAATCTGTTTTCACAGCAGCGCCGTCAGATCTCTGGATGACCATTTCTTTCTCTTTGTCCCTTACACTCTCATTCATCTTGAAAGTGTCTTTTTTATTAAGAGCATCAAGAACAGTCATGGATTTATTACATGCCACAAACACTGGCTTAGGAGTAGAGTTGAAACAAAACCAGAATTTGTGTTTTTGCTCTTCTGCTCTCTGTTAAATTCAGATAAACAATCCATCATGTTCAAACAGACATTCAAGTGAATACCAATGAAAAAATGTTTGCCATGAAATGATGATTCATTATAAGCATATTATGTGATACTGAAAATTCTCTCATCATTTACTTGCCCTCAAGATGAACACAAATAATCTATCTATCTATCCCTGAGTTGACAATTGGCCAGAATTATTAAACTCTGGTCTCACTAGACTTTGAGCATGTGAAATTTCTACAGACATTGCATCGGTTATAAAATAATGGCATGCACTTCGCTGCGATCTTGCAGATTTCAAGTTTGCAGCTAGAGGTCAAACTGTGAAACGTTAATCTTCCATTGGTCACATGTCTTCAATTTTTATGAATTTGCAGGGTAGAGTTCACCATATTTAAACTTTGAATCAAAATAATTAGCATGAGCTTGCATTTCCATGTCTCCTGCATCCACATGCTTATAAATGGAAGTCAATAGAACGAAAAGTGCAGTGTGACCGTTAAAGTAGTAAAGTTTAAAATATATGAATTCTCACACACACCCCTATATTTTCTGATTCAAAAGACATTGATTCATCCACTGGGGTTGTATGGATTACTTTGGGAGTTCCGTTAACTATTATATGGTCTCACTTTTTCTAAAAATCTCAATCTTCATCTGAAGAAAGAAAGTCATGCAAATGGGACTGCATGGGGTGAGTAAATTATGAGAGAATTTTCATTTTTGGGTGGAGTATCCCTTTAAGTTATCTACCTGCTGTGGATCTTTTAAGGGTCCCTCTTCAACTTCAGTCTTAAATAAACAAGCCATCGTTTCCTGGGGGGGGGGGGGGGGAGGAACTGTGAATTTACGGGCTTACCACTCTAGAGCTTTCAATCATGATTTAAATCATGAAAAGGACAGGTAAGTGCAATGTTATGGTCCTATCACACCAAACAGTATGCAGCAAGGCAAATATGCTCTTTTATTTGATTTATTTGGTTTATTACTTGACTTGTATTTTCTTTTACTGTAAAGCAATTTGAGAAATTAATTTTTTAATTGCCAATATCACTCTCTCTCTCTCCTCTCCACCTACAGCTGGTGTGTGGTGAGCATGCTGCACATTGGTGGTGGGTGAGGAGAGAGTGAGGAGAGATCCCCTGATATGATTGTAAACCGCTTTAGATGTACAGTAGTACATAGTAAAGCACTATATAAATGCCCCATTTATTCATTCATCCCAGCTGAGCACAGAATTACTTATTTGGGTCCTGGACTGAGAAAGTGGGGTCCTTGAAATCATTTGCTATAGGCTAATGTATTTTTCAGACTATATGCACGTTATTTTAATCATCTAAAACGTGCTGCGAGCGGGGCCGGTGTGGTGAAGTGTCCCACCAAAGTGATGAGTCCCAGCTTAGGACCCAAGCAATCCGATTGGTTCAAAGCACGTTTTATGGGTAATCGCTTTAGTGCCTTGTTACAAATCAGATATCACTTTATTAAATAAGTCGTTTGAACAATGTTATAACGACCATTGATTTCTTTTAACTTATATGTTTCATATACTAGTATATAACCGAAGCCATATATTGTGAAATTAAACATTTATCGGGCTTAGTATTTTTTTAGTTAGCTTAGATAGTAAGCATAGCATACAGCTATCCGAAATGATGGGGAGATGTAAAAAAATTAAAACTTTCATCGCAATAAGTGTAGGCTATTGTGATGTCAAAACATTTAGTAGCCTAACTAAACATAATTTTATTAAGTTTAGGGACAACATGTTACCATGTTTACATGGTGCAATGACTGGTAGGCTACTGCTTTTATTATTGCTTGATACAAATTTTACTACTACAATTAAATTAAATTCTTGTGGTTTGATTTTGATTCAATATCGATTCAATTGGATAAATAGTAGGCTACAGTAGATGCATGTTAATTTTTCTCAAGAAAACAAATTCTCAAATAATGCTGAAAACAGGCTTCAGAGAGCCCTGTAAGCTGGATCTATTAAAGGTTAAAAATAACAACTCAAATTAAATATAATACAGTTTTTATTATAATAACAACTTTATAATATTTTAATGATACAAGTAAAAATATGATAAATATGTAATATAGTGCACATATTTAGCAAAATACTAATTTTATAGCCTATACTAATACTAAATATATTATAAAATAGTAATTTTTCTAGCCAACTAACGTTAATGTGCTATGGTCATTATGGCTTTCCTGAGGTAAATGTGACCTTGTTCTCCAGCTGTTTTATTGACCTCTTTCCGTGGTTGAAAAAACACTGATTGGTCGATATTATGTATGAGGCATACATTTCGGTAAGTTGTAGGCTACTGTATCTTTCAACACCTATTATTGTTTATTCGTGTTTATTTACTATTAACTAGTAATAAAGAGAAATTATCGGTTCACGTGCCGCTTGAACTGAGGCACTACAGCGATCTGTCACAAGCGCCAAAACGGTATTTATTGTTTGAATTTTGTAATAAAATTGACAGAATTTGAGAGCTGAGAATTAGTTTAATATCAAAAGGAACCTGCTCTGTCTTATCTGTCGGTGTCAGTGTCCTCTTTGCTTCACGGTTCTGCGTGAGAAAATGGATGTGTGGCGTGAGAGCGTGTGAAAAGTGTCAATTGAGCGAGTCTCACGCTGAATGCGTGAGAGTTGCTCTGTAGGCTACAACTGCAGAAAGAGGCGTGGATGAACGCAGTCAAACTAACTGAAATGAATAAAGATGTACAGGCTAATTTGATATTAGAGATTATTACATGGCTTGGTTAAATTCGAATGTAGAATGCATTCTGAATTCTTGATAACAGACCGCTGCTACGTGTAAAGGGGGTCGCACACCGAACGAGAAGCGCAGCGCCATGTCTTTAAAATTCGAACACATTATTCTCTATGAGTGTACTCACACCGGCGGCGCCATTCGGTGTCTGTCCGCGGCGCCCAGCTACGGCTCAGGACCTTGTTCAAAACTCTGCCGCGCCACAGAGCGCCATTTACATAGTTTTATATTAAATTTACATGTATTTGTCTCAAATCGTCGTTAATGTATATACTGACTTCACCCTGTGCTGTGCTGCAATAGAGGGAATGCGCATGACGTCACCGTCGGCCGGAGTGAATGCGGTCACGCCCACTAAGTGGCAAAAAGACGAGTAGCCCCAGAGTGGAGTCTGGACGATGGGGCGGGGGCGACACTTTTGGGGCGACACGACGCTGTTTGGCCATAGCCTACTACAGAAATATTAAGTTATAACCATGGCGATTTCCTATTTCAGTAACGATCAATTGGATAATGTTTTGATGAATTTACGAATCAAGTTAGATGAAGTTCCTGTCAAAATGTATTCGTATCAGGGCTCTACAGTGCGACCATTTTGCTCGCATATGCCCCTAAAAATCGATACGTGCGAAGGGAGGAAATGATTTACCAGCACAATGTGCGAGTAACTACAACCTACCATAATCGAAAACGAGATGATAACTAAATAAAAACTAGTTTTGAATGACAAAAACTATGACGAAAATCTATTGACATTTTTGTCAACGAATAAAAACTAGACAAAAATGTTATATACTGACGATTTGGGAAGCGATCCAGTCAGAACTTGTGTCTTACGTTTCTGGTAGATGCGCACATTTGTACTGTAACGTGCTGATCTACCCAGCGGCACACGGGTTGACATGCGCTGCATCTCATAAAACGTTAAAAAATGTTAACGTCTGGGAGAATTAGTAGAGCAGACATATAGATCTGAATAAGAGTGACGACGCAAAAAAAAAAGAGCTGTATTCGGTTGTCTGTGCGCACACACACTAAAATACTATTGTGTCGAAATGTCCGTTTTGGAGAGTATTCATGTAAACTCTGTCGGTTATATGGCAAGCCGTTTTAGCTTAAATTGTACCCAGCCTTACTTGTTGTAATTTCATTTTTACTAGTAAAAATTTAATTAGAGAACTTTACAATTCAATTCGTACTAGTAGCAATTACAATTAGAGAGCTCTCTAATTCAATTCTTACTAGTAACAATTGCGATTAGAGAGCTCTCTAATTCGATTCTTACTAGTAAGAATGTAATTGCAGAGCTCTTTAATTGAATTAAAGAGCTCTGCAATTGCATTCTTACTAGTAACAATTAAATTAGAGAGCTCTCTAAATCAGTTTTTACTAGTAAGAATTACATTAGGAGAGCTCTTTAATGCAATTATTACTAGTAAAAACTGATTTAGAGAGCTCTCTAATTCAGTTCTTACTAGTAAGAATGCAATTGCAGAGCTCTTTAATTCAATTAGAGAGCTCTTTAATGCAATTCTTACTAGTAGGAATTCAATTAGAGAGCTCTACAATTCAATTCTTACTAGTAGCAATTACAATTAGAGAGCTCTCTAATTCAGTTATTACTAGTAACAATTACAATTGCAGAGCTCTCTAATTCAATTCTTACTAGTAACAATTCCAATTAGAGAGCTCTACAAATGAATTCTTACTAGTCATATGTCTCCATTGACTTCCATTCATTTTTAATTACAGAGCTCTTTAATTGAATTGTTACTAGTAAGAATTACAATTAGAGAGCTCTACAATTGAATTGTTACTAGTAAGAATTACCATTAGAGAGCTCTCTAATTCAATTGTTACTAGTAACAATTACAATTAGAGAGCTCTCTAATTCAATTCTTACTAGTAACAATTTAATTGTAGAGCTCTCTAATTGAATTGTTACTAGTAACAATTACAATTGAAGAGCTCTGTAATTTAATTATAGAGCTCTCTAATTGCATTCTTACTAGTAACAATTCAATTAGAGAGCTCTCTAATGCAATTGTTACTAGTAAGAACTACAATTAGAGAGCTCTCTAATTCAATTCTTACTAGTAACAACTCAATTGCAGAGCTCTTTAATTCAATTAGAGAGCTCTCTATTTCAATTGTTACTAGTAAGAATGCAATTGTAGAGCTCTCTAATTGAATTATTACTAGTAAGAATTCCAATTAGAGAGCTCTCTAATCCAATTATTACTAGTAACAATTATAATTAGAGAGTTCTTTAATTCAGTTGTTACTAGTAAGAATGCAATTGCAGAGCTCTCTAATTCAATTACAGAGCTCTCCAATTATACATATCTTTAATTCGTTTTTTTACTAGTAAAATTTCAATTAGAGAGCTCTGTAATTGCATTCTTACTAGTAAGAATTTAATTAGAGAGCTCTCTAATTGTAATTGTTACTAGTAATAATTGGATTAGAGAGCTCTCTAATTGTAATTCTTACTAGTAATAATTGAATTAGAGAGCTCTGCAATTGCATTATTACTAGTAAGAATTGAATTAGAGAGCTCTCTAATTGTAATTGTTACTAGTAAGAATTGAATTAGAGAGCTCTCTAATTGTAATTGTTACTAGTAAGAATTGGATTAGAGAGCTCTCTAATTGTAATTCTTACTAGTAATAATTGAATTAGAGAGCTCTCTAATTGTAATTCTTACTAGTAACAATTCAATTATAGAGCTCTCTAATTAAAAATGAATGGAAGTCAATGGAGACATATGACTAGTAAAAATTCATTTGTAGAGCTCTCTAATTGCAATTGTTACTAGTAAGAATTGAATTAGAGAGCTCTGTAATTGTAATTCTTACTAGTAATAATTGAATTAGAGAGCTCTCTAATAATAATTGTTACTAGTAAGAATTGAATTAGAGAGCTCTCTAATTGTAATTCTTACTAGTAAGAATTGAATTAGAGAGCTTTCTAATTGTAATTGTTACTAGTAATAATTGAATTAGAGAGCTCTCT